CACCATCACCATCACCATCACCACCACTACCATCACCGTCACCATCACCATCACCATCACCATCACCATCACCACCACCACCATCACCATCACCATCATCATCATCATCATCAACAACAGCAACAACAACAGCAACAACAGCAATAACAGCAACATCGTTGTCATGAGGTTCATCTCTCGCAAGTACGGCCTCCGATGCCCCCTCGAGGAAGAGCCGCCGAGCATGCTGGACTGGCACGGTGGCGGGACTTGCCGCAGGCAGCTGGACATACGTGTGTGTTGTAACTACAGCCGCAGTGTATACATATATATATATATGTATATATAAACACGTACTTATGCGACCACCATTCGGGTGATAAGGAGGTTGTGGGGGGAGAGGGGGGGGGGAACCAACATCTGATTCAATCGATCTCACTATCGATCTCACTCAACGGGACACCACGGGACACCACGGGACACAACAGGACAGTTGTCGATCTCACTATCGATCTCACTCAACGGGACACCACGGGACACCACGGGACACCTCGGGACACCACGGGACACCGCAGGACACCTCTCGATCTCACTATCGATCTCACTATCGGTCTCACTATCGATCTCACTATCGATCTCACTCAACGGGACACCATGCGACACCACGGGACACTACGGGACACAATACGGGACACCTCGGGACACCACATCGATCTCACTACCGATCTCGCTACCGATCTCACTATCGATCTCACTCAACGGGACACCACGGGACACCACGGGACACCTGTCGATCTCACTATCGATCTCACTATCGATCTCATTTTTTGGGACACCACGGGACACCGCGGGACACCTCGGGGAACCACATCGATCTCAGTATCGATCTCACTATCGATCTCACTTTTTGAGACACCACGGGACACCACGGGACACCTCGTGGCACCACATCGATCTCAGTATCGATCTTACAATCGATCTCGGCATCGATCTCACTATCGATCTCACGTTTCGGGACACCACGGGACACCACGGGACACCTCGGGGCACCACATCGATCTCAGTATCGATCTCACTATGACACCACATCGATCTCAGTATCGATCTCAATATCGATCTCACTATCGATCTCACTATCGATCTCACGTTTCGGGACACCACGGGACACCACGGGGCACCACATCGATCTCAGTATCGATCTCACTTGTTGGGACACCACGGGACACCACGGGACACCTCGTGGCACCACATCGATCTCAAGTATCGATCTCACTATCCATCTCACTATCGATCTCACTCAACGGGACACCACGGGACACCACGGGACACCACATCGATCTCAGTATCGATCTCAATATCGATCTCACTATCGATCTCACTATCGATCTCACTTTTCGGGACACCACGGGACACCACGGTGCACCACATCGATCTCAGTATCGATCTCACTTGTTGGGACACCACGGGACACCACGGGACACCTCGTGGCACCACATCGATCTCAGTATCGATCTCAGTATCGATCTCACTATCCATCTCACTATCGATCTCACTCAACGGGACACCACGGGACACCACGGGACACCACATCGATCTCAGTATCGATCTCAATATCGATCTCACTATCGATCTCACTATCGATCTCACTTTTCGGGACACCACGGGACACCACGGGGCACCACATCGATCTCAGTATCGATCTCACTTGTTGGGACACCACGGGACACCACGGGACACCTCGTGGCACCACATCGATCTCAGTATCGATCTCAGTATCGATCTCACTATCCATCTCACTATCGATCTCACTCAACGGGACACCACGGGACACCACGGGACACCACATCGATCTCAGTATCGATCTCAATATCGATCTCACTATCGATCTCACTATCGATCTCACTTTTCGGGACACCACGGGACACCACGGGGCACCACATCGATCTCAGTATCGATCTCACTTGTTGGGACACCACGGGACACCACGGGACACCTCATGGCACCACATCGATCTCAGTATCGATCTCAGTATCGATCTCACTATCCATCTCACTATCGATCTCACTCAACGGGACACCACGGGACACCACGGGACACCACATCGATCTCAGTATCGATCTCAATATCGATCTCACTATCGATCTCACTATCGATCTCACTTTTCTCATCTCAGTATCGATCTCACTTGTTGGGACACCACGGGACACCACGGGACACCTCGCACCACATCGATCTCAGTATCGATCCATCGGGACACCACGGGACACCACATCGATCTCAGTATCGTATCGATCTCACTATCGATCTCGTTCGGGACACCACGGGACACCACGCACCACATCGATCTCAGATCGACTCACTTGTTGGGACACCACGGGGGACACCTCGTGGCACCACATCGATCTCAGTATCGATCTCAGTATCGATCTCACTATCCATCTCACTATCGATCTCACTCAACGGGACACCACGGGACACACCACATCGATCTCAGTATCGATCTCAATATCGATCTCACTATCGATCTCACTATCGATCTCACTTTTCGGGACACCACGGGACACCACGGGGCACCACATCGATCTCAGTATCGATCTCACTTGTTGGGACACCACGGGACACCACTGGACACCTCGTGGCACCACATCGATCTCAGTATCGATCTCAGTATCGATCTCACTATCCATCTCACTATCGATCTCACTCAACGGGACACCACGGGACACCACATCGATCTCAGTATCGATCTCAATATCGATCTCACTATCGATCTCACTATCGATCTCACTTTTCGGGACACCACGGGGCACCACATCGATCTCAGTATCGATCTCACTTGTTGGGACACCACGGGACACCACGGGACACCTCGTGGCACCACATCGATCTCAGTATCGATCTCAGTATCGATCTCACTATCCATCTCACTATCGATCTCACTCAACGGGACACCACGGGACACCACGGGACACCCCGAGCCACCGCCGGACGGACGGACGGACGGACGGACGGGCGGGGGATAATCATTTGTCTTGGCTTCGCCCGGGACACCACGGGACACCGAGGGCCACCGCCAGACGGGCGGGGGGGGGAGGATCATTTGTCTGGACTCCGCCCTAGCAACGGCGGGTTCATTCCTCTCGCGCACCCACGCAGCTTCGCCTCGCCCGCACGCACGACACGAACGAAACGAAACGATTTACCGGTTGGGGGTCTCCGTTCCACTGCGATCTCACCCCCAAACCTCCGAGGAACATATGCACGTATTCCATCACTCGCACGCGCTTCGCCATGGGGCGTATCGTACAACGCGCCAGAAGGGCCGTGTCGAGATGATTAGCTTCTTGGCTTGGAAACCCACGCGTTGGTTGCTGAAGTCGCACTGAGTCTCGGTATCCAGGCTGGGCAGATTCTACACGAAGGGAATCCAATCATTTGCCGCGCTGCAACATCAGTCAAGCAAGAGGAGGGGAGGGACTTGATGGAGCGTGTGTGGGGTCAGGGCAGGGGGAGGGGGGAGAAGAAAGACGAGGCTGGAGGAGGGAGGCGCGAGACGGAGGGGGTTGAGAAGGACTAGCAGGGCAAATCGGAAGCAAGAGGAGGATGAAGTGGAGGAGAAAGAGGGAGTGAGGAGGGAGGATCAGGAGGACGATGACGGCGAGGACGACGAAGAACAGGGGGAGGAGGAGCAAGAGGAGGAGCAAGGTTGAGGTTGAGGAGAGCGGGGGATGAGGAGGTTGAGGAGAAGAGCGGGGGATGAGCCATGAAGTTTGCAAGTGGGAGCCTGCAGCCGCGTGGAGGCCTCTTGGGGACTTGCCAGGGCCCCATTGGACCTCTTGGGGTCCCCGTGGAAGCATTTTGGGGGTCTGCGGGGCCATCTTGGGGGGAGCACCTTCGGGAGCCCTTGGACTTTCTCACCATGGGCTCCTCGTGGGGTCCTTTGGGGCCGTCTTCGGGCGCGTTCTGGGGACTCTCCGATGCTCTCCGGGCGTCTTGGGAGCTCTGGCGGAAGACAACATAAACATGCGGAAGCCAACCAACAACCAACAAACACTTCAGCGTTTGCCTCGTGGGGCTGGACGGCCCCAAGAGAGCCCAAGCTGGTCCAAGAGGACCTATGAAGGACCTCATACGGCCCATGGACGGTCCAAGAAAGCCAAGAAAGCCCCAACCTTGCGACTGCCCCAGGAGACTCCTCTGAAGGCCAAGAGGGCTCCAAAATGGCCCAATAGGCCTAAGATGCCCTCAGGATCAAACCCAAGACACAAGAGAGGAAACTCAAACTGACAATTCGAACCCTCTCCTCCAAAATTGCTCCCGTGGCCGCCAAGACGCCCCGATTGACACCCACCAGGCACCAAAAGACCCTGTAGGCTTCAAGAGCCCCCTCAAGAGGTATCTGGCCCACTGGGAGCGCACATGATCAGAACTCTGCTGCCACTCCCTCCTCTCTCCTCCTCAGCTCGTTTCTCCTGCTCCTCCCGCTCCTCCATCACCTCCCCCTGCAGATCCTCCACCGTGCCCCCGGGCGCGCCGAGGCGTGGCAGCATGCCACGCGCTGCCTGGTAAGGCCTTTGCACACTGATAGACCCCCCTAGTCACAGTCTGGTGCGCGCGTCGCCCCCACTCCTGAGGCCACGATCCCTCGAACAAAAATAGCCTGGCGAACGACCCAACCGTATGCAGTTGCGAGTACCGTCGCTGTGAGTATGGCCTTCGGCGACTTGGGACGGTAGGGTGTATTGCAGCATCGTTGATGTATCTTGGGTTTGCGCTGGTCCTCCTCCTCCTTCTCCTCCTCCTCCTCCGTCCCTCCTCCTTCCCCCCCTCCTCCACCTCCTCTTACCCACCCCCTCCCCCTCGCACTCCTGCTCCTGCTCCTCCCTCCTCCTCCTCCTCCTCCTCCTCCTCCTCCTCCTCCCTCCTCCTCCTTCCCCCCTCCTCCTCCTCCTCTTACCCACCCCCTCCCCCTGGCACTCCTGCTCCTGCCCCTCCCCCCTCCCCCCACTGCTCCCCGCTTCCTCGGCGGGAGGCCCGTGCCGTCCCTGGCGCGCGCGGCTCCTGGTCGGACGATCCCCTCGACGACGGCAGCGGAGCAGAGCGCTTCTGGTTTTCTACCGGGGGGTGCGAAAGGTGCCCCTGGCCCTATGTCGGGCGTGTCCCCCTACAGGGGGATTTTCGACGAAAACTTAAAAATACCCCAAGGATACCCCAGGAGGATCAAAACATAATCAAAACACAATCCCCTAACTATTTTGGACATTTTTTTGATTATGTTTGGTGCATCTATTATTTTTCGTCGACAATCCCCCTGCAGGGGGACAAGCCCGACTTAACCCTGGCCCTAGGTGCCCACGCTCTTCGCGCCACGTTGGAGCCCCGTGGGCCCCCTGGGCCTCGTGCGAGGTGCTCCGGAGACCGTGGGGGCCTCCTTGGAAAGTCTGAAATGACGATGGCAAGTCAAATAACATCCGATCCCATGGGGAGTGGATGGATAGGATAGGATAAGATCGATGTAATGATCTTTCCAGCACATAGCAGACACTAGGGTAAGTGTCCGTGCAAATGGGGCGCGCGTGCCTTGAGCCGAAGGCAACGGCGCGCAGGCTATACTCCCGATCCTCTATAACATCTCCCAAAGAGCAACCCTTGCAGTCGGGAGGGGAGGAGACGGAGAGTAAAGCCGCGCAGCCGTTAGGCTCTAAAAAAGCTACGCGCACAACTGTTTGCAAGAAAAACAGTACGCACAGTCTGGCCTACCACCAGACTGAAGGGCGAGATTATTCGCCGGCGAGTTTCCTCGCAAAACTTTTCCACGCACACGCAGGATAGCCCCTTGGATATACAAGGGCTATCGGCCCGGCTAGAGGTAAGCCAAACAGGCTATTCCCTCCAGGCAAAAGGGTATGCAAGCAAAGAGCCTGAACCAATCTGAACAGGCTCGTTGCCAAGCGTGAAAAGTAGGGCTCGTTTCCGAGCAGCTAGGAGGGCGCCTCTGTATTAGGCGCCCGTGCTGGCAAACTGGACCGCGGGGGCAACAAGGACAGACTAAAACTGATTCGGCTTAGGCTGGTGTCTGTCCTCGGGGCCACGAAAGAAAACAAACTGCTTCACGTCATACTTAATGACTGAGTGCCTGACATCACTTCCAAAAGCAGCTCCCGATCGATACTCCCCTTTGTATGCCCATCTGCGGTCATGTCTCTAGTGTCACACCACTGTACGTTATGCGCTATCCCTATATCCATGAGCTCACGTATCCAACTGATATGTCCCAGCAAAGTCCGTTCCGTCGGTATCTTAAGATCTTTGCTGGATAGCGATTTGTATACAGACTCAGCGTCTATAGTGAGGGATATTTTGATAGCTAGGCCTCCAACTTCACGCATATCTCGTAGTTGTCGTGGAGTAAGTGCCCCTGCCTTGAGCTCGTGAAGAGTGATGAGCGTGGGATAACATTCATCAAGATTGTGTGCAGCTGCAAATGCCTCAGCGGCATAGCTGGACCTCACCTGCAGTCGGTGTGATTCGCATAGTCCGTCGCAAAGGTGAATGACGGACTTGCCTTGAGGCGAGTTTCCTCGCCGTAATACGTTAGCCCCACGAATGCCGTAGCCCTTGGTTTCATCGTCCTCCTCCCCGGTGAGCTTCCGATACCCCGAATCACTGTGTATGTCAACTTCATTCGTCGGTTTCATCCGAGGGAAGGTGATGCGTTTCGGGCTGCTGATCAGCTTTCGCGTCACAGCATTGAGTCGTCTGACTTGTAAGTTGGTGGGCTCTTGGATCTTCTGGAGAGAGACCACCTACAGAATAAGCCAGATTTGAATAAGAAGGGCACAGGCGAGAGCTCCTCGCAGGCTAACGAACATGTCGGTGCTGAGTTTGGTAGCTTTGGCGTCTGCCGCCGCTCCCGTAAGTTCAGGGTGTGTGATAGGACGTAGTTGTTTAATGTACTCGTCCTGATTCACGATCACATCCCCTTGTTCATTCTTCGTGTAGCGAACGGCACAGTTCGTGTAAGAATGTTTGCTGAGCTCGCATTTGCCAAACACCTTTTCAACACGTTGTACATCGTCATCTACGTTTTTCTCTAGGCCTGTCATATTGATTTTGTCGACATGTTTTGCCGTTAACAGATCCTGACTGAATTCAAACTCAGGGTCGTAACTTGTCGGTGCGAGGCCTTTAGCTCGTGTAGTCGTACGAAGCTTGAGGGAGAACGCTCTTGGGGCGTCTTTTGTACTCGTTCCTGGCTTGAGGCACCCGAGGCAGTGTCGGCTTTCATCGTGAGAAGAGAAGCCTGGTAGTGTACGAAGCACCTGGGCACTTCCTGGTGGAAGGGCGAAGCAAACCACGCGAGTTTCCTCGCCGGTGGCATGAGCAAGTTCCTCGCAGGTCAGTCCTTTGAGGAACGCTTTGTCGATGTCCATAGATGCTAAGATCCATTCTGGATGGCATGCCGCCTCACTTGCCAGGAGCCTCTGGGACTGTCTTCGAGCAGTTCCTGAGAAGGTTTCTACATCGAACGCCTCCGTATCCATGAATCCGCGAAGGACAAGTCGGAGACGGATGGTTTTAACACTATCGGTGCCTACCTTCACAAACTTCCACTTGTATACATATCTGGATGTCATGATGTTGGAAGCTTTAGATAGGTCATACATCTCAAAACATCGGTTGTCAAGCCAACTTTTGAGTTCGGTGTACAAGGCTTCACTAACCTCTTTAGGATGTGCTGCTATATCGGCGTTGGTGAGTAGGTCGTCTTCCTTGACTACCACAGCACGTTTAGCAGCCGACGATACCTATACTCTCATCGTTGCGACCATATCTGTTTCAAGCTTTGCAAGTTGGGTCTGATCCAACACTACCTTTGACATTTCTGGCGTGAAACATAGCTCAACATAGGGGCCATGTTCATCACTGCCAAGAGAGTAGCCCTCGTCTGGCGTAAGTCGAGCATAGAGAGATAAGACAGGGCTGTTGTAATTCAGGCTCGTCTCCGAGCATCTCCGACACTACGGTATCTTCCTCGTCCACGGATGCTGAGACCAAGACTCGTTGGTCGGGCAGCATGGATGTTGGGACGCAGTAGAGATAGTCGTCGATAACCGTTGTGGGATGAAGGTCCATACGTAACTCATCGTACCACTCCTCCATCATCATAGCCTCGATGTCGCGTTCCTCGCATTCGTCGTAGATTGTAGACAGGCGACCTTCACTTGGTGATGAAACACCTGGGGTGTCTGGAGGAGGCCTGTCTCCAGGCTGGTCGTGTTCTCCAGACGCTGTGCCCAAGTGCTGATACTTGGCAAGGTCGTCATGAAATCCGAGGGAGGGAACTTGTGACGTCAGGCACTGGATGAGTCTGGAGTGAGTACTACCAGGTGTTTTGAAAGATGTTCAGGCCGGTGCCCACACACTCACAATAGTGGAAGGCTGGGTTAACATCGCTGTCGTAGTGGATGATTGAAGACCCGCTGGCGTACTTTACTGCAGGTAGATTGGACACGCTCTTGGCCAATCTCACGGCTACTACACGTTCGGCTCGGAAATAATTTCGCACGAGATACTGCAGTGCAAAGTGTACGCGCGGGTGAAACTTGCTGTCGTCGGAAAGATTGAGGCTCCCCTTGTAGTCTGGAATATAACCAAAGACTTTGGCAGGTTTCCCTGCACCAAAGTGCGCCACATATGTGCGGACGGTTGGCATGGCCATGTTGTCCATGCCAAGTTCCCTGGTAAGAAGGCATTCAATGTATAGCGTGTGGCGAACATCAGGGTACATCACAACTACCTCACGCGATCCTGCCTTGACGACGACGAGTCCTCTATCAGGCACGGTACGGATCACAGGAAACGGGCCATTCCAGCCTCCATGGTCGTCCTTAGTGGCTGTAGGTCGGTGATAATCGACCAAGTCCCCAACTGAGTAAAGGCGAGCACCATCTGGGGCCGTCTTAGCCCTGAGAGCACGATTTGTCTTAGCTACCGCCGTGGCTTGAGTTATTGCTTCCAGGCTAACTTCCCTCGCGCGGCGTTCTCGTTCGTGGCCTGACGTCTCGGGTCCCTTGGGGAAGTCAAGGGTGTCGAGGTCAGGAAGGAAAGAGGGCTGTCGCCCAGTGTGCGCTTGGCACGGCGATACTCCGTTGTAAAACGTGAAAGCGCTGGCGACGAAGATGCCTTCAGCCAATACTCTAGTAAATACAACGGGGATGTTGTGTCTGTTCAGCTCTTCCTCAATCATATGGAGAGTGCCCCTGAGAATGCCGTTGCGTGACTCGATCGAGGTCGCGTGTTGGCCAGGCGCTCGGATACGAAGTGTCGTACCCTTGGTCGCCATCATGGCCTTGGCAGTGCCATTGTTGCGGGCACCTTTTCCATCTGAATACAAGACTTTGAAGGGTCCACGATGGGCAATCCAGCAGTAGTGGTAGGCGTCGAGTATAGTGTCACGTTCTCTGTCAGGAATCTCTTGGCCTGCTGCCAGGCGGATACATCGGTCCATAATATGAAATATGGTCCCTTTCTTGTAAAACATGAGATCTACTTCGCCTTCGTCAAGCCAGTTTCCAGGAAGGCCCACGGAAGGTAGCGTAGAATTACCTGGACGTTCCCATGCTCTACATTCCCGATATGTGTCACAGATCTCTTTGATCATATTTAATCGAACGTTATCCAGTCCCACTTGATCTAGGATCAGCCTCATCTTGGGTTCCTTCGCATGATACCACCGTAAGTGCATTTTACGGAGTTCCTTTTTGACTACGTGAGGTTCGTGACCACGGCGGTTTTGCAGACTGTGTCGGATGTCAAATCTCGCCCAGTCGGGCAGTCGTGGAGCCCCCGAGCCGGTTGAGGCAAGAAGGTTCCTCGTAGCTCTCCGCAGTCGGTCTCCTTCGTCAACTGCATCTGGCGGTGGAGGTACGCCTTGTAGGCGACCACAGCGGGCAACTACTTGTGGCGGCTCGCCCGAAGACGCGGAGGGCGTGTTTCCACGCTCGGGCGCGTCTCGCAGCATGTCGTAACTGCTGGCGCCAGATGTAGGATCAGTATTCCCAAAGGCTCGTGGTCGTGGTAGCCTGGCGTGAGCGCCCTGACGGCTTCCCGATGCCGAAGCTTGGCCCCCCCCCCAGGCTTGG